AGGCCAGAGTGAATTTATTTATTTGTTTTTATTGGTTTTAGTTCATGGAGTCAGTTGATAGTGACTGTGAGTTAATATGAGTAAAATGCTGTTCTGTTCCAGTTTTTCAGGGTCAACAAGATGAGCAGTGACTTAGAAAAAGCACACATTTGCCAAAGGAACGTCATCTTTTTGGCTACAGATCACTTTCTGACTTCTATACACTCAACAGACACTTCATTAAGTACACCTAGTTCCAGGTTGACCCTCTTTTGCCTTAAGAAATCCTTTAATTCTTAGTTACTTAGATTCAACAAAGTGCTGGAAACATTCCTCAGAAATTCTCAGCCCATACTGAGATGACATCATGGAACAGTTACTGTAGATATGCAGGATGCACATCCATATGAATCTCCCATTCCGCCACAACCCAAAGGCAGTCTATTGGATTGGGATCCGCTAACTGTGGAGGCAATTTGAGAACAGTGAACTTGCTGTCATATTCAGGAAACCAGTTTGAGCTCATTTGAGTTTTTGTGATAGGGGATATTATCCTGCTGGAAGCAGCCATCAGAAGCTACACTGTGGTCATAAAGATGGGCAGAAATTACCAGCAACAACATTTAGGTAGGCTGTGGCATTCAAGCAGTGCACCATGGATACTAAGGACCCCAAAGTGAACTGCCACTCGCTGGAGAGTTTCTCTTTTTCAAACCATTCTCTGTAAAGCCCAGAGATGGTTGCATGAGGAAAATCCCAATAGAGCAGTTTCTAAAGTCACTTAAATCACCTTTCTTCTTCATTCTGATGCTCATGCTTGAACTTCAGCAAGTTTTTCTGACCATGTCAACATGCCTAAATGCACTGAGTTGAGGCATGTGCATGGCTGATTAAATATTTGTATTAAAGAGCGGTGGAACAGGTTTAGCCGCGAAAGTGGCCAGTTGGTGTAATTGTGCATTTGTTAAAACACCGTTACAAGAAACTGGAAACCATGACTCCTAAGGAATCTAACACGAAGCACGATTATTGGGTTAGTGAGCCACATCATTCTAAAAGGATGGAATAAAGTGACCTAAAACTTAAACCAGACTGGTCAATGTATTTGTGGACTTTTGATCACCAACAATATCCAAGCTCGCTTTGATTAGGCCGGAAAGTCATTTCCACGTCTCTGCCATGTATGGGACTTTATCACTGCACTCAGTAGCCTTTCATCTTTAAATCTATGCAGTTTACAGTTTTAAAGCTCTGGTGTGCACTGAAAACATACCAAGTTATAAAATAAACACATCAGCCTAACTCCTAAATTCACAAGATTTCTGCAGAATTGCTTGCTGGCCTTGCCTAAAGTTTGGGAATGGATCAAATAGAGCAGGTTATTTAAACACTAACCAACAGGTCTTCATCGTCTTCGACATTGTCGTCATCATCATCATCCAGGTCCTTCATACACTCGTCTGCCATTCTTGCGATATCTTCCATGGGTAGGGGACCTACAAGTCAAAACTCAAACTTAAATTAAAATTCTACTACTAGCACATCCCAACTATGGACAGTACTTGTGTTGTCTTAACGAGGTCTAAGTCAAATTATTTATATACACATTTGTGGTGGCTAAGGTGGCAACCTCCAGAGCTAAAAAATGATGCTGAAGTGCTACAAACTGCAGTTTCTGGAGGCAATTAAAACCCCAGATTTCTACTTAAAATGTTCACATTTACTGCATTAAAAAGTTTGCTTATAGCCTGGTACAAAAAAACAGTCTTGGCTTCTATGAATAGTTACTACTGAGTAGCTTTTTTTTGGCCTACATTCATCTTTACACTATCTATGGTGTTGATCATATTCAGGACAACTCGGGACTCCCCTCAGGAGATCTAAACCCCGACTTTAGAAGCTTTGAGTTTTTGTTGCAAAAAGAGAGCTAACTTACACGCTGAGTGAGCTTCCAGACTAACAAAGTCTGTGCACCTAACATGCTCACTGACAGTTTTTCTTCAACAAACTCTGATTTTATCTCTGAGTACTGCGTTCCTGCTATACCTTTATTCTTTATTCATTCATTAAGAGTCCCCCCAGGGGTAAAAGATCAAATATGAACAAGAAATATGAAAAACAAACACACGTATCAACAAATTACCCGGTAACAGTGTGTGTGACAGTGGGCAAGAGAGGAAACTTTTACTATATCATTGTTCCCTGATTCTGTCTAACAAGCCACAAAATGAATTTACTTTGCAATGCCTCCATATGACAACACACTGCTGGTCCAAGCAAAGAAATCTCTGATCATACTTTTGGTACCTAATGGTCTTCCTGCATAGCAAATCTGCACAAATAATCAAATTATATTAGCAATAACAATGTCGGCTTCCGCTCAAAACCCAATTACTTACAGGTACACTTCCTGCTGGGCTGCAGCATGCTTTCAGTTAATTTATTTTTAACATTTGGGATGGCTGTGGCACTGGAGTTAGATTTAACTAATTGGTAGATTGGTGGCTATTCTTCCCTGATGCATCCATCAGAGTGTGACTGGATGAATGAGGGTTGTAGTAAGAAACATTACAGAGTACAAAGGAATCCACTGTTAAAATCAGTTCACTAAATATACAAAATTACAAAGGCTGTGAGTGATCTCAATACTGACCACAATAACAGCTAAAATTAAGCAGCTCTACCAACCAACAAACCCTCTGCTTCCTGTTTACACTGACACATAAAGTGTAGTTGCATGATCTTGCGAATCATGTCTAAAGGCAAATTAGTAAATTCAGAGGTTATGTTCGAAACTGCTAAAACACACACCTGGGTGGTGACTGCATTTGTGTGGATGTAGCCTGAGACTGTGAGTGGAGCGCTTAAATGACAGCCAATGTTAGCTGTACCTACCACAGGTGTAGAAGGGCGCGTGTGGAGGTGGGGTTTTCAGAACTTTAAGTTATAACTACTGCACTCACTTTTCCCCTTCTGCCTGGCTTTTCCTCCTGCAGCAGCCTTTTTTCCAGTAATAGCAGCAAGTTCCGCCTCCAAATCCGGGTCGTCCAGGTTTCCGTCCATGCCCATCATCATCTCCTCGGGGTTCAGGTCTACAAACAGACCCATCTAAAAGCAGGAAGTAAGGGGATAAACGTCTCCACGCTGACATATTTCTGAAGAGAAAGCCTCGTGTTTGCAGCCTTATGTTTACTGGAGTTGTTACCTGCTTGGCAGCAGCGGCGCCCTGGCCTTTGGGCTGCGGTGCTCTCTTCTTCTTACCAAACATGTTTGTTTTGGTTTCTTGTTGTAGAAATATCCCCTCGGAGACACCCCGGTGGTCCAAACCTCACCTACACGAACACACGTACACTTTAAGAAAATATGTCGGTGTCGTAATCAGTGTCGGTTGCAGTAGTTGTTGAAATCATGTGAGCGGTTGTCAGGTGGCTCCCGAACAGGCTGCAAAAACGAGCTGCCAAACAACGGTGACGTTAGCCCAGCTAGCTGCTAGCCAACCATGTCTGTCGGCTCTTAAGTCTAAAAGTTAATTTATAAACAAGATGGAAACTACTTCTGTATCTGCCCGCCAGGGCTTCAGAGAGACTATCATACCGCGAAAAGACCGTTTATATTTACCTGTTCGTTCACAACTTCATCAGGTAGTTTTCAGAGGAACAGTTTCATTTCTATGCTTTGACATTATAATGGATTTCTTTGAACGCGCATGCGCTAAGCCTGGGAGCACCCTAGTGCTGGTTGAAAGTTAAAGCCCTGAGTCATGTCTGCCAGGCAACGAGGGGGTCCCCACTGACTAAAGAAAAAAAAAATACAAGCCACGTTTATTGAGTAAGTCAGGTTTTCCTGCGTGTAAAACATTTGGTAACGAGGTTTTTCATAAATGTATTGACTTACTTCTCTAAGTAGTAACGCAAACATAAATACACTAACTTCAAACAAACATAATACACGATAGTGATGCAGATCCTTAAAAATGCTTTTCTCCAGAAAACAGATAAAAGAGAAAACACAGAGAACAAAATGTTCAAATTCAACAAATATTTCAAGTGACATACTGTCAGAAACTGTCAGATCTAAATCTGTCACACAATTCAAAAACGGTTCAGAGATTTTTACAGATGCTTTTATTTGGTTCATAGTACACATCTTTCTCTTTGCAGTGAAACTTTGAAATAGTCTTTTTATCTACTGCTCAATATTTATTTTATTTTTTCCCCAGGACAGTAGATCATTGTTTTTTCTTTTTTTGTTTTTACATTTTATTTATTTCCCAAAAGCCACTTCTCAAACTGTTTTGATCCTTCTACACTGCCAAATAACAATCTTCTGTATTTAGTTTCAGTCTCTTTTAAAGACTTACTTACTGTTTTGGGGATAAATCATTCTTATTTTGTTTTTAACCACCCTGTGTCCTGAGACAGGGACATTTTTGGCTTTTCAGCACACACGCAATGGTAACTTTATTATGTTCTGCTATAAAATAAAGTGCACTGTTCCAACATAAATGGGGCGACCGTGGCTCAGGGGGTTGGGAAGCGCATCTGTAACCGGAAGGTCGCCAGTTCGATCCCCGGTGATCGTTGTGTCCTTGGGCAAGACACTTTACCCTACTGGTGTTGGCCAGAGGGCGCGATATGGCAGCCTCGCTTCTGTCAGTAGAGGCTACGTAGCTTGCCTCCACCAGTGTGTGAATGCGAGAGTGAATGAATAGTGGCATTGTAAAGCGCTTTGGGTGCCTTGAAAAGCGTTATATAAATCCAATCCATTATAAAGACAGCCTTTAAAAAAGACTATTTATTCAAAGATGTGGCTTGGTGGCTCAAATAACGCCAAGTAGCCGTGAAAATGGTCAAATCCACATGTTTATCACACGTTTGTATGTATTCATACTTTGTTTTTGTTTTTAAATTTCTTAAAATGGAGATTTAGTTTCTGAAAAATTACCACTTTCATTTACACGCTGTACTAAGACTTAAAATATTTGGGCTATTTTTTCCTAACACAGAATACAAATACAAACATTTTGTTAACAAAACACTTTTTATTTTGTCTGTAACAGTTCATATGACAAAAATGTGTTCAATAACCGGTATATACTTCTCATGTTTAGTGCAAAGAGAACTTGATCCAGGTTTATGTAAGGGTTATACTGGGTTATACTGCACTGAAATAAGGTTTCGATTTAAACAAAAACATTTGCAAACTCTCGGCTGGTGTAAAGTTACAGATCCCTGTTGTTGCTGCTGAGCAGTTTGGGATAGGACGTGCCGATGGATCGCCCGTGCCGACAGACGACCAGCTCCAGCACGTACTCGTCCACTTTCACCACCACAGACGTCATCTTCTCAGTCGACATGAGGAAGATGATGGTGAAGAGAGCGACCTCAAACTCTGGACTGACACCAATGAAGGAGCCACCGACTGGCTTCACCAACCCGTTCAAACTGAACTGCAGGTTCAGGACGTGGTCGTCCTCATCAGGCTTTAAAAACAGTAAATGCAATTCAGCGACATGTGCGGCTATTTACTTTTCAGTCAGTGCTTTTACAGTAACGAGCTGCTGTATCAGTTTCTTACCGTGTCTTTGTTATCTCTTGCTTTGTAGCCTTTATAGTCCACATGGCCGTGCTTTTCCTGAAGGTAGAACTGCACCCAGTTGTGAAGACCCATGATCTCCTGTCCGTGTTTGGCTTCTCCCACAAACACATGTTCAAATCCACAGGAATCCTCACTGTAATGAAAATAAAATCAACCAGCACACCCAGAGATACTTAAGTTCAGTCTCTCAGTGCTGTATGCCCTCATTCATATCAAGACGCCTTATCTACAATGTTAACATTGCGGGGCAGACAGAAGGATAACAGCACAGATGGCAGCAGAGCCGGTGACTCACTTTTAACCCTCAAGTAACCAAGTTTCATTAACGACTGATTTATGAATGACTCCATTATATTTTATGAAAACCTTTCTAATGGCTCTGTGTGTGATTATCATACCTATGCTGTTTTATTGTAATTAAAAAGATAAGTTAAAAAGCACAAACTGTAGGAAGAGACAAACTGTCACATCTTATCAAACAAATTTTCTTTGTTTCAGTGTAACTAGAAAAATAATACATTTTAAATATTAAACTAAATAGAGATTATAACCTCTGCACATTTGTACTCAACACTTAAAAAAATTCCTCCTAGTCACCTGTCATTGATCCAGGTGTTCAGAACTTTCAAAATTAAAAATTAAAGTAAAAAATTAAAGAGTGAGTTATGTATTACAGTGCGTTAACATCATTTTAACACCCAAATGTAGATAATCTAGTGACTCTGATCAAGAAATTAGAATTAAGTTATCACACTCTGTTGTTCATCTTGTGCAACTGTGAAAATGAGATGAAAAAAAAAAATAAAGATGACAATAATAACAAAGGCTATAATGTTACTGTATAATGTTAAATACCAGTCTTTTCATTGTGTTTGCTACATTGGAGCCAATTTCTGGAAGCATTTTTTATTTATGATTAAAAGTGTCACAAAAACAGATGTAAGTATTTGGCTGGAGTTACAAGGTTAACCTCAGGAAGATTTAAATACATGTAGTTTATTGTCAGCCTTTTCAGACAAGAGCAGCTGTTAATTAACACAGAAAAAAACAAAAAATAAACCCAAAACACATTCAGGGAACACTGTTTTATTCTTAGATTCTTCACTGATTCTTGAGTTGTAAATTCATCTGCTCGTTCTGCTCCAGACCTGGATCTCATTTAAGCTTGCCTCTAACCAATCATTCAAACCGGTTCCCTTCCTTCTCTTTTAAACATTGCAGCAGCGCCCCCTGTTGTTACAGTTACTCACCCTCCGCTCCTGTCCCTGTGGTACAGGCGGAACCAGATGTCATACAGCTGTCTCTTGAACTGCCCAAGGTCTGATGGTGATTTCCCCTTCTTGACCAGATACTGGTGAGCACACTAAGAGTAAAAACACAGTAACATACTTTGAAATTTCAGACATCCGAGTAAAAAAAAATGTGACCTATCAATAGTATCGGAATAAACCATCGTTACATTAGAAAAGTAATTCTTAGCCTTGAAAAAAACAAAAAAAGACAAAAAAACAAAAACAAAAACGGATCCATGCCTGGAATGAAAATTCGAGCCGGCATAGATCAAAAGATCAAAAGTGCCTGGAACTTAAACACAACACTGAAGCTAAAGTAATGAGTCACAGGAACATCTAATCTTACTATAATAAACTAATCTCTATTTGAACTCCTACACAATCTGGAGATGATAAACTAAACTTGACACACAGGTTTATCTTTGGCCCCAGAAGGTTCTTATCTATATCAGATATTCTAATGTCATTGTGTTGCCTGGCAACCACCGACCGACAGACTAAAATGACTCATCATTTATGTACCTATATAACATCTTATGAAATCATAGTATGGCAT